AAAAAAAACCCCACTCAAAACTCATTATATCCCAGACAGAAACCAACAGAAATTTTTAAAAAAATCAAGTGTTCTTAAAAAAAAAAGAAGTTAAGTCCATATCAGGAAAACATGTCAAGTCTTAAATATACTAAAAATGGATATAGAAAAGATTAAGTTAATTTGTTTCATTCTGATTCAAAACTTTGCTACTTACATCTTGTCTTGGCCAGCACCAACTCTGAGAGTTAACCTGGGGATAACTGGACTTGAAGCTGGAACAACAGGCTCCACTTTTATCTGCAGAAGTTGGTACATTAGAGTTAATTTTTTATTTTTCTGTAAAAGCACCTCCTACGTCTTTGCCTACTTCCCCATCTCCACAAACTTGATAAACAAGTTTAAGTGTCAACCATGGTTACAACGCTAGCTGCAAGGATAACGTGGGCTATTTTATGATTTTGTTTCTTAAGGGTACCTGACATCATGAAAAATTCTACAGTCACAATTACTTTATATACATATAGAAGTAAAGCTATTTCTAAATTTTCTTAGACTTGCTCAATTTTAAAAGAAAAAATTGTTGTTCAAATAATTTGTTGGAGCACTTAAGTATTTGATAAACAAATCTTAATAGTAAAAAATGCAATGATACTGGCATGGTTAGATAAAATATAACTACAGGTCTTAACAAACACTGAATCAATCTTAAATTTATATTATCAAACAAAAAGGCTGAAAATGTAAATGTAGAATTAAATTTTACTATTTATGCCTAGTTGTAAAAATATTTTAAATGTTCTGCAAGGAAATAAAATTTAAGGAATTTATGGTGCTGGCAGTGACTAAGCTAAGACCTCTCAAATAAGTGACATATTAGAAATTCATTAAGAAAGAATATATGAAGTTTTTTTTAAAGGCATTCTTCACAATTTTTGGCTCTACAGATCTTACGGTACAGCTAATAAATATTAAGTGAATGATAAAACTCTGCAGTTCTACATTAGTTAAATCATGATTTTCCAATGGGTTTCAGTGGCTTTGGGTGGGGCAATCCTTTGTTGTCCCAAGTATTGTCAGATATTTAATATCCTGAACTCTGGATACTATATCTCATATATACTGTTAGTTACTGGGACAACCAAAAGTATCTTTAGTTATAAATCATTAATTTAACAGTGTAATGGTTGCAAAGTTGAATATACATATAAAGCTCAATATACTATTAATATACTACACTTATTACACTTAGCAAATCCATTATTTTTTCTGTAATTTTTTACCTAGTTCCTTTTGAAGTTTGTATCTACTATCACATCAAGATCTATTATTTGATAATTTTTAAAAAATAATGGCACATAGGTGTGCAACAAGTACTTAAGAAAATATCTTACAATTACAACTTTTTTATTGTTCTATTATTTTTACCATTTGTTCAAGAACAATCTAAAATCATGTAAGTCTATCAAAATCTTCCAACTTTCCAATCAAAATCCCAGTAATCTTTTTTACAGAAATGGAAAAGTAGAGAGCTCTGATGGCCTAGTGGCAAGAAGCTGCACTGCAATCCCAGAGGTATGCAGTTGGAATCCACCAGATGCTCTGCTGGAGATTGAGGGGCCATCTCCTCCTGTACCAGTCAAATCCGATTTGACGGTACACACACAAAAATAATAAAATTTAAAAAAAAAAAGAAATGGAAAAGTGAGTCTTCACTTTTATATGGAATAGCAAGAGGTCCTAAATAAACTCACTTACATGAGTTGGTTCTGACTCATAATTGACCTTCCATTGGGTTCCTGAGATTGTAAATAGCATGGAAGGAGACTGCCCATCCTTCTCCCAAGCAGCTGCTAGTGAATTAAAACAGCCAGAGAGGCATGGCTTCTGGGTTAGCAGTGCAGTTTCCTACAGATGCACCAGCTGAGCTCTCTTTGAATAGCTAAGGCAAAGCTGAAGTAGAAGAACAAAGTAGCAGAATTTATATTTGTTAATTTTAAAATATTATATAGTTACTATAGTCAAACAACTTAATATTGATAAAAGATACACATAAGCCAGTGAATAAGAACTGAAAGTCCAGAAATAATCAACCAACACATCTCTGGTTAACTGATTTTGGCGAAGTGTTAAGTCTACTTGATGAAGAAAGAAGTGCCTCTTCAATAATGATGCCAGGGAAATGGAATTTCTATATGCAGAAAAACAAAACATAACCCATGCCTCACATCAAAAAGAAATAAAAAATGGATTAAAAATGTAAATGTGGAAAAAAGCATAGCACCATTACCAGAATAAAGAAGTATCAAGCTGCAAAAAAAAAAAAAAAAAAATGTAAATGTGAAACTTAAACCAAAATGTTCTTAGAACAAAATGGGGAGGAGGGAGCAAGCTGCTAGCCTTAGCTTTTAACAATTAATCATCTAATAAAACAAAAGCGGAAACAACAAAAGGCAAAAAAGATAAATGAGGTCTTATAAAAATGAAAATCTAAAAAACTTTAAAAACAAAAATGAAAATCTTTTATCAAAAGACTTTACCAAAATACTGAAAAGACTGATAAGTCTTGGAGAATATCTTCAGAAACTACGTATCAGATTGTTGTCATGTGCCATTGAGTTGACTACAACTGACAGCCACCCTATGAGCAACGGTTGTGAGCCTTGCCCTATCCTGAGCCAATTTACAGTCTCTGACACCTCACCCCACTGCCACACTGTGTCAGTCCAGCTCATCCAGAGTCTTCCTCTCTTGTACTGACTCTCCACCCTTCCAAGCATGATATCTTACTTCAAAGACTGGCCTCTCATAACATGTCCAAAGTATGTAAGACAGAGCTTCAAAATCCTGCCTCCAGTCATAAAATGGGTAAAGGACTTAAATATTTCACCAAAGAGAATATGCAAATGACTAAAAAAGATATGAAAAAGATATTCAACATTAATCGTCATCACAGAAATGTAAATAAAAAAAACACAGTAACACTTCACTATTAGGATGTTTAAGATCAAAACTAACAAAGACAAAAGCCAACCATACAAAATAACAACTGTTGGCAAGCATGGGGAAAATTGAATCCTTATCCACTGCTGATAGAACACAAAATAGTAACTGTTGTGGAAAACAATATGGTGGCTCCTAAAAAACCTAAAACAGAACTATCACATGATCCAGCAATTCCATTCTTAGGTAAAGTAAAAGCTTTGGAAGCCAGAAACAATGTAAGATGCAAACCAGTCGAAGAAGGAAAACTCAGAAATCTTCCACCAAAACAAGCAGTACAAAAATTGTGAGACTGTATCCTGTCAAAAATAATGTGTAAGACAGTTATCCCATCAACTTTCTAAGACACAGAAAAGCAAGGTAATTCCATTGAGTTTGGACTCTTACGGTAAATGACTCAAAAGCAAACACTCACAAAGAGAACTGTATACCAATGTTCACTGCAATTCGCAATAGTCAATGGGCAGAAACAATTCTGTGCCTATCCGTGGAAGAATGGATAAACTAAATGTGGTACACACAGTGGAATAATTCTCAGCTAGTAAGAGAAATGAAATCTTGATACTTGCTTGCTACAATATGGATGGAACTTGATGTTGTGCTGAGTGATGTCAGTCAAGCACAAAAGAATAAATACTGTTTGACCAGTTTATAAGTGATTATCAGGGGAGGAATAAGGAGGCAAGTGAGATTATAGTTTACGGGGTACTGAATTTCAGTTTATGGTTATAGAAAATTCACATTGGTTAAGGGTGTTTGTGCACGGCTGATTACTATGGGGCTATCAATCAGCTATATACTTAAAAACGGTGAATTGCCAAAAGCGGTGTGAGAGATAGAGTTACAACAATAACCAAAACAAACAAACTAGCTGGTGAGACTCTTTATGTACAACTAAATCTCTCATGGACTTTTGTTCATTGGACTGGAAGTTTATGTTAAATGTTTGAAGAGACATGTAGTTAATTGGCCTAATAACATTTAGTGTTCTGTTCTAGCACCTACTTTATTGTATAGGATGGGGGTTTTGCCAGGAGTTCAGAAGAAAGGTAGGATAGTGGAATGGACTTGGGGGAAGGGATTGAATACAATGAAAGAATTTTTTTACTTTTTAAAAAGAAAAGCAAATGGGGGGGCAGGCAGAAAAGTGCAACAAAGAATGAATGGAAATCCAAAGTCTCTGTAAACTTTAATTAAAATAAGATTAAAACAAAAACAAAAACTTGCAGTTGCCATCCACATCACACCAACTGGTCTCTATTTACCCAGACAACCAAGGAAGGATAGGTAGGAACAGGAGGAAGAAACAGAATGTGTGGCTAATTGCTTCCATGAACAACTCCCATCTTTGCCACAAGACCAGAAATGGATGGTGCTCTGTTAACATTAATAAACACTGTGATAAAAATTCTATAGAATAATCCTGATTAAATGGGGGGAAATGTTGAAGATAATTTAAAATTCTAATGCACTACAGACTTTCTGGAGCCATCTGGGTTAAACAAAACCCCAAAACTATTGCATTAAGATGATCTTTGAGTCTTAAAAAAAATATTGTTTATAGTTTTAAATTCAAATAGCTAAGCTTAACTATTAAAGAACTATCTGCTTTGTGCATTACACTTTTTAAAGAACTATCTATGTGGGATCAAAGTGACAACTCAAAAGATTAGCTCAGAAACTTAGGGGACAGTTTATGTAACGAAGGGAAAAACAACTCAGGAGGGTCAGAAAGGTTATACAACTCAATAACTAATCAATGTCACTGGACTACACACGCAGAAACTTCAGTTGGTGTATGTTTTGTCACCTATAGTCTCAACAACCAAATTATAAAATACACTCTTAAAAAATCCCGGCTTCCCCCAAATCTTTAATACTATGTTTATTATTTAGTTAAGGTAACATTTGTCTGTTTTGTTTCTTGATTTTTTCCCCCCAGTGCCTATGTCCGGTGGCCTATGGTAAGAAATTGCACTGCACTCTCAAAGGCAAGCGGTTTAAATCTACCAGCTGCTCTGAGAGAGAAACTATGTCTTCTTGTGCAATTTACTACCTTTGAAAACTTGCTGGAGGGTCAGCGATGGGTTGGTTCTGATGACGCCACAAAACATCATAATCTGATGATAAAGTGATGAAGATGCCACAGGACAGGACAGGGTTCACATCTGTTGTTTACAGGGTTGCTCTGAGTCATACTGGACTCAATAGCACCTAAACATCACAATCTGATATGAAGTTATGGCTTCAAACTGTTACCTCTTTCAAGATTCTATCTCATCAATTCCTTTCCTTTT